CATACACACACTTTCAGCAGAGATAACATGCCCAAGGTAAGTCGCTTCCTGTCTGAGCAATTTATATTAGGTATGACTTAAGATTGGCTTCTTTAAATTTTTTAAGCACCTTTATAATATTTTCTAAATGTTCTTCAAAACTCTCTCCAATGATGTCAGACAGGCTACGAAGGAAAAACTTCTGAACACGGTCTCCATAAGGCGTTTGAACATTGCTGGTGCATTATATAATTAAAGTGGCATCACCTTGAACTGTCAGAGTCCTTGTTGAGTAGTAAATGCCATCTTTTTGCGATCATCAAGATGTATTTCTGCATGCCAATATCCATTCTTCTTATGCATTGTTTTGTAAAGATTACAATAAAATTATTATTTTAAAAATACAGTAAAAAAATACTCAGATTTAATATCTATCGTATTACTTTTAAGCAGAATCTAATGTATCCTAACATTTTTGGGAGTCACTTGACAATGAGCAAAGTATATATAATATTATACTATAAAAAAAGGCGTTTTATGTTCTGTCCTCTTCGGTCTTTAATAATAATCCTAAAAGCACTTTTTTATTATTATTTCATACATAATTAGATCATCTTAAAAGTAAAATTTTAAATATATTCTATATTAATTCATTTATCTGAAAAAAGCAGAGAAAGAATAAATTAAATCTCGTATAAACTACCAGATGAATTTCAAATGCAGTGTGAGAAGTGATTAAATTACCTTATAACTGTTAATTTCCTAAGAGAAAAAATCCCGTGAAATATAGAGTATAATAAACATACATCAATAAACATCGATTTAAATAAGACAGAATCAAATAACAAAGTTTAAACAGCTATCATTTCACAACTATGCAAAGTATTACATAGTTTGAAAAGCTAAACTTGTCATCCATTTATTTTAAATGCAAAAAAAACGAATACTTAGGGCGTGATATAAACTGTCATGATTCAATCATAAAAAAAGGGGTTATGTCACTTCGTAGATATTTAATTTGCAAGCGAAAAATTCCATGACATTTAATAAACAATAAATATACACCTGGAGACATGAGTTAAAATGAAACAGAATCAGGTATCAGCGTTTAAACACTGACCACAAGTCATTTTGTTTGAAAGATGGCAGCAGAGTGGAGGTAGGGTGGTAAACTTGGCACGCGAAAAGCAACTTAATCGCGGTCGCGACAGACACTTTACTCAAAAGCAAGGGGCCCGGGATGTCAAAACCACTTCCGGAAAGAGTGTCCAAAATATAGTCAATTCTAGGAACAGAATAGCCATCTTTCTTTGTAACTTTGTTCAACAAGCAATAGTCAATGCCAAATCTAGTTGAATTGTTTTTCTTTCTGACCAGGACAATGGGAGAGGCCCAAAGACTTGCTGAAGGCTCGCTTTCTTGCATGTCCTTTAAAAGTTTTCTGACTTCTTCCTGTAGATGTCTTGGTCTTGTCACAATTACACAATCGCTTGTTTGGTGGATGACCTCTGGCAACACTAAGTTGATGAGTACTAAGACTACTAGTACTCCTTATGAGGTATTACAGTCCATGGGATACTACATTATACTGCACCAGAAGTTTCTATTTTCGGCTATAGATTCATGTAGAATGTTTCCATTTTTGGTGGTACTATGATATCACCTTCATCATTTATTCTGAATTAGGGTATGTCCTCAAAGGTAGAATGCAGTTCATTATTTTAAAAGTTTAAGGAAAAATTCTATTTCCATAGAAAGTCTAATCTGAGTATGCCAGGGTCTAAAATATTTGCTACTTATGCTATGTGACGGTAGGCAGCACTTCCAAACATGATGTTTACATTGAATTTTCCATCAATGCCGATTTTATCATTGGACACAGTCTGGAAGATAACGCATGGTGGCATCCAGATAAGTTTATCTTCCAATTGTTGAAACAAATCTCTTTGGATGATGGTAATATTGGCTCCTGTATCGATAATCATATTGCAAGGGGCTCCATTGATATGTCTCATGATGTAAAGATGATTACTGCTGCCAATCATTGCAGAAATTTGAAGTGTTTTAAAATGAGTCTTCGCAATAACTGGAAATCTGTGCTCTGCAAAATAGGCACTAATTTGCTTCCTGAGTCCTTGGTAGAGGGAGTTCTTAATATCCATGCCTTGTGGTGTTCTGTAGTTCCTTTATACGTGGCCTTCAACACCACAGTTCAAGAACTGTAGGGCTAGTTTCTTGTCACTCCTATTCCATAGATATATATAAGGCATTATTTATATAAGGTTTATTATTTATATATTTCCATAGATATATATAAGGCATTGACTTGTCTGGTTAAATCCTCTAGACCAGTGGTCCCCAACTCGCGGACAGGTACGGTCTGTGGATTAAATGGTACCGGGTCGCCCATTTCATTGAAACTGACTTTAAATTCCTAGGTTTATATCCCAAATTAAAAAAATCTGTGATTTATTAAAATTTTATTTATTTAAAAAAGAGGCCCCCGAAGGTAGTGACAATTTTTTTAATGTTTTAAAAAGTAAAAGTAAAAAAAAAAAAAAAAAAAAAGAAAGAAAGAAAGAAAACCACCGCAACTATTTTTTCTTTCAATTAGTTTAAAAAAAAAAAAAAAAAAAAGAAATCATCATAACTGAAAATACAAATCATTATAAACTTTTTTAATCCTTGACATCAGTCATTCACAGGGCTATCTGTATCTCAGGATCCCGGATGTCATTGATGAAGTACTGTAGGGACAAGATTTCCCTTGTATCTAATGGGCAGTCTGAAAAAAGTGAGATGATATCTGCTGCATCTGCTCTCAGAGTAGCGAGATGGCAGACTTCAATCCAATCTGTTTGCATTTCCTATTATAGTGAACTTCATTTTGTACACTTAACAGGAAGTTTTTCCAGCATATGTGGACAGATTTAGAGAGGAACAAGAAGGCAAGTGTAAAATTAAAAACCTTCAGAGTTACTTTCTGCTGTTGCTATGAATTTCTTTAAGGTATCAACTTCTTTGGTGCTTGTAGAGACCCATCACCAATTTATTATTCCACTGCAGAAACTCTTTCTTGAATATCTCCAACTTTGTCTATTCTGCCTTCCATAGCCTTGAATCTGTTTTCTATTATGCAGGTAATTTCTCTTTTCATTTCCCCGTGACCTGCTTCAATCTTCAGCTTTCATATCTTTAATAACGTTCATCTTTTCTTGAAATGCTTTAATACTTGATCTACTTTAATCTTCTTTTCAGCTTTTGTATCTTCTTAAACGGATTCATGACCAACCTTCATCTTTTTCTTTAAAAGCTTTCATCTCTTTTTTAATAGAATTGACTGCCCCTTCTATCTTTTCTTGGAATGTACAAGCTGTCTTAGTTGCTCCTTCACTGCACTTGTTACCAGTATTCAATCCCAGTTCTGACACTAAACATGTTACGTGATAGGTTGACAAAATTTATTTTATCAAAAGAAATGCTTCAGATATCTGGAACAATTTACAAAAATAGATGCACAACTCTTCACAATATCACTGAGTACGATCAGTAGTTACACTTAGTCCCCAAAACCACTGCCAGCATGGCGATGTGTCACATTACCAAGATAGCTATTTATTCAATGTTAAATATACTTGCCCCTGTATTCTTACTTTTCCGACACAATGTCGTCTCCCAGGATTTTCCTGTTACATTTTTACAGAAAACATATAACAATTTTACATATAATTTTACTAAAACTATCTATGTGTGTACAAAAATTCAAAACAATATTTATAAATAAGTAGATGGAGTCAAACCCCATTATGATTAAATTTAGGGGGCTGAAAGTTTAGTTCTTTATATCTGGTAGTTATTAAAAATGAATTACAATTATTATGTGCAAATATTAATTTTTTTTGTTTTTCACTTCTGTCATGCTTACAATAATTTTACCTGGAAAATTTAGCATAAAAGTCATGGTTTTGATCCATCCCTCCAATTACACATTTCTATCTATTAAAATTATGAATATCAACCATTAGTACTGTCTTACAGCTTAATAGAAAAACTCAAATAGAATCAATAAACGGATTCAAACTCTTTGTTTTGAATGGATCAATCGTTCTTTGGCTCCATGCATGACCTTTGTTTGCTCTTACAATATGTTTATTATGTGTCTTGGTTTTCCAAAAATTGATTGTTACCAGCCTTGCAATTTTTTATTCTTTCTAAATACAGAGAAAGTTGGAGGTTAAATAAAAACAGCATTAATACCTAAAGGAGATTTTCTTATTCACCTGGACAGAACAAATTCAGAATTAGTAAATTTATAATTAAAAGTTGCAGAAATTCTGGGGGGGGGACACTTGAAAAATTTAAAAAAAATATTTGCGCATGATGCATGCAATGTTAATGTTAATAAAACGTTTCAAATCACTAAGTCAAAAATCCTTCAAGTTTTACAAAATATGAAACAGATAATAAAATAAATTCCAAATTTGAGCTTTCAGATGCCCATATTCGAGTGGAGGACTATGCTATTCAAAATTTGATGTCTCCAGGTATTGTTTTTTCACAATGCGAGAAACATACATACATTCATGCAGATTCTTCATTATTTAATTCCTTTAAATATAATGCAGGTCTCTAATATTTGGTGACAACAAGTTGTAAAGTGAAATGCCGCTTATAGTGAACCAATGCAAAATGCCAAAAAAAAAAAAATTAATAGCTTTTCTGGGCAAATTACCCCTTTGGGCTTAATAAAAAAAGAGAGAGATTGAAGAGAATTTGTGAATATCCATAGCTGTCAGTTATCAAAAGAGATAATCATCCTAGCAAAAGTAGTAGCATCCTCCTCTTCCTTCCTATGTTATTACAATAAATTTAATAAATTTTTATTATAGACAAGTACATGTAGGTAACTTGCATTTATTTACTGAAAAGTTATTAGCAAAACTTGAACTGTATATTACTCTTCTATAGCAGTAACTTAAAGAATTATTAAAAATAGAGTATTCTTAACAGAAAAATGTTACCTTTGGATTATCTTTGAGTATATTTAAAGCTGCATCATGTAAGGCTTTATAATCTGTCTTTAATGCATATTTCATTGTATAAAGAATGCATCCCTTTTCTTGTATCTTTCTGAAGACTTCTTGAGAACACTTTCCAATAGTAAAATAAAATTTAAAAAAAAAAAAAAAAATTATATGTTAAGTAAATTTTGCCATATTGTACATTGATTCAGTTCACTAAAAATCATATGAATAAAAATAATTCATATGATTAATTTTAACATAATAATACAACAAACAGTATTCTCAAATTTCTTACAATTTTGTATCTTCCAATTTACAAAAGTAATGTAATATTAGAATATTTTTACTAAATTGCAAATGATAAGTAAAATCTACATCTCTTGTCTTAATAACTGCAAAACAGTTTTTAGTTTATTAGGAAAATTATTACTTTTTAGAATAACCAAGAATAAGGACGTCCATATTTTCTTTTATTGCAGAAAAATTAATTTTGTTTCCTTTGATGAAGTTATTTAACAAGTTTGAACAAAACTTTGTCTACGACAATGAGATGTTGGATTGGATGTTATATCATTCGCTGTTTAAGTGCTAGTGGTGATGGTGAGGACGTAGAACAGAGAACTTGATGCCTTTTCATTGTTAGGCTGTTGGAGATGACCTTCTTCCACCAGCCACTGCTGAAACAAGGACGTTTTGCTTCAAAAGCTTGTACTTTAGGGTCTAGATCAATATTGTACTCAGTATCCAGAATTAACTACAGAATGTTTTCTATCGTTTATTCAATTTGCAGGCATACCACCAATAATGATGTATTTTCTACCTCCTCACCATGTTTCTTCATGGCATAAATGGTAGCACATCTGGCAGGCAGTCGGAAGATCTGGAGTTCAAATCTCAATGAAGGCATTACACATTTGCTATGTTTTCTGCTTCAAAACCCCAACAAACTCTACAATGTGTTTCCTTGAAGATAAATTCACAGTTCATAAACACTGCTAACATGGATCATCCTGTATATTAAAGCATCAAGAATCAATGTGGTACCTGAAATCTTACTTTTGCTAAAAATTATAACTGTCACAAAACAGGAAAAAATTCCAAGATACATCATAAGGAACAGTTGAAAGCTTAAGAGAGGTAATTTTGCACAGGTTTTACTAACAGTGCATCCCTTTGAAAAGAAGTGCATCGAAATTACTCCTAAGTTATGTTAAAATGTGACAACAAGTTGTGATTACATTGAAATCTTTTGAGTCACCATGCTTGAAACATAATTATAAAAAATTATCAGGCACCAAAATTATTATCTTGAAATTAAATGAATATAATAATTTACAAAAAATTTAAATTTCAAATCTCTCTGTTTTTTAATTGTTAAAGACTTGAGAGAAAAATTAATTTTATTATCATACAATTATTATTTACCTTAATTATATTAAATCGAAAAGCAAATTAATTCAACACAATGCACATGTTTATCCTGATTTCAAAATAACATCAACAAATTTAAATAGATTTCAAGACAGCAAATATGAGTTAACAAATACAAAAATAGTAAAAAAACAAGTCCAATTAACAGATGCAAATTAAAATTTAAATACTGCCAGCAATGCCACTCATTAGAAATGTTATGCAATACAGTACAATAAAAATTTAATACGAGGTTAAATGATTAAAAATATATTTGCACAAAGCTGTAAATAAACGAGTTAAGACTTTTGAACATTATAAGGCATTTCTCCTGCTTTCTTAGCGAGTCTTCGTGGTGTAGTGGTCTGCATGCTCAGTGCGTAATTGAGAGGTCCGCCATTCGATTTACGGCGAAGGTTTGCTAATTTTTCATTTTGCCTGCTTCCAAAAATACCTAATGTCTCTACAACATACATACATCTAATTAACAAATTTTGGTACAAGATAATAAAGCTAATTTTTACCTTTTCATTAAAAGAGGGAAATACTGATGCCTTTTCAAGTATGCTAACAGCAGCATTCAAAGCATCTTTGTTTGACAAAGCTATTAATCCACATAAAAGTTTAGCCCATGGTTCATCATTACATGCCCTAAATCAAAAATAAGAAATTAATAATTTAAATATAACTAAACGTATTAGTAAGAAATTCAATCAAATATATAACCACTAAGAATTTTTCATGCGGATTATTTTATAAAAATTATTGAAAAATTTAAACATTTCATTACAGTTCTCATTCTTCATTAGGTACAGTTTTTACTAATGTAAAACTGGAAAAGAAAACCAAAGTAAAATGTATTTAAAGGGACTACATATTACTAGTAAAAAAAATCTGTTATCCAGTGGCAGAGGCCGGAGCAATTTTGGGCCAATCAAGAAACTTGAACAATCGAATCGACACAGATGACTCGGCGAGACAGCCCTGCATGTGAGGGAACATGTGCAGAACTAATACTTTCAACTCAAAAGTATATCTTTCAATGATGTACAAAATGCACAGATATGACAAATGGAATTCTTTTAGAATATTTTTATCTGCTTATGTATATTTGAAAATATTTCAATATACTGGAGACAGCAATGAAATATTTGCAGACTAAAGGATTAGATTACATACTAGCATATAATATGGTTAGGGAAGCTACATGCTCTTTAAAATCCACTTCTAGAAACTTCGATTTAATATTTAACGCATCAAAATTTTTTGTGATGGATTGCAACAATAAACTAAAAGGTTGGGGTGTGATATAATTAAAAAAGAAGAACTACCTGCTAAAAGATGCCAAAAAGTGAAACAAATGGGCAACGAAGAATCGTCTGACAATAATTTCAATTGCTCTATCAAACAATTTGAAGTTACTGTCCTTAATTTTATAATTGATAACACCATTTCATCGATGGAAAGTAGGTTTAACTTTTTGATGTGCGTGATATTATTTTTATAATTTTTTTTTAACTAAAAACCCTAGAAATTGAATATTATGGTCCTAGAGACAAATAATATATGAATTGAAAAAAATCCACGTCGAGGATTTTGAAACTTACTGAGGAAGTAGGGGGAAAAAACTTACCTTTTTCCGTGCACGTTTCCAATAAACGACAAAATTTACAAATTAAAAAATATATATATATATATATGTAAGATTTGCATTATATATAATTTTTTACATTATTTTACAAAGTAAATCGTCAGTGAAAATATAAGTACCTACATAATAAGGACGTTTGGCTAAATGGATAAAAAAACTCAGTAACGTAAGGATAAAAAAAGACACACTGCTTTTTTTTTAAAAAAAAATTTCAAAGAACAATTTTTTTGTGACACTGTTCAAAGCATGTTTTGTCTTTTAGGTACATGCATAGACCCACATTGCACGTTTTGTACATGTATCTTGTTCTGCGAGGTTTCTTCCATGTGCTACAAAATGTACACTGCCTGGATCTAAATTTCACTGGTGTATGTCCAGCGTTATTTAGTTCCTTTTCATCTGGCAGATGAAATTTGTGGTTTTTTATGTTAATGGTGGGAGAGGGGCTTGGTCTTTTTGGCTTTGGTACGGATCATTTGTTTCCCATTCATACTTATTTTACTCATATTTCATCCCAAAATATTCAGAAAATATTTTTAATTTAAATAAAACTTTATGTGATTTCTATTTTTAATTATAGCAAAGTATATTTACATTAAATTTAAACCACAGGAAATAATTTATAAAATCAATTTTTTTTGTAATATTGTACTAATTTTGTATTGTTTGTATTCAATAATTTTTGAAATTTAAATTTGTTTATATTACTAAAAGGAAGTTATTTTGTCTCATTGAAAACAAATCTTAAAAGGCATCCGATTTGAAGTACTAAGACTTAAAACACGTCTGATTCTGCATCATTTTGTGTTGTTTAGAGGTAAAAGATCAGTAATCAATTCATTTTCACTCAAAAATTTTGGAAAGAAGAGGAGAAAAGAATTTGAAAACTGGTGGTTTCAGGGAGCGACCAAAGCGTTAAAGGGCATAGGAAGTTGTATGAAGACATATCACTTCTCAATCCAAAAAAATTTCGAAGCCATTGTTGCTGAACTCTTTTGACTATTTATCTATATTATTAGGGCACTATGCAGGTTAACAATTTATAATAATCTTAAGGACATATAATTAACATATTTATATAATTAGGACCTAGTAATTAAATGGAAAATACTAAAACATTCAATTGAAAATCATTATTTTGAATATAATACTAAGTCAGGAGAGAGTGCTCTATCTAATAATTAGCATTCATACAAAGTTAAATGGAATTTTTGAAAATATTACATCTTGTGTGCATATAAATTACTTTTGAAATATAATTTATATAGCAATGCATATGCCAATGTCTTTTTTGCTTATAAGTTTGTACTAACCCTAGCTATAATGATGAATGTGAAAAGAGATTTTTCAAAATTGTAAAATGTAAATTAAGGAGTACTATGAAGCAAGCTAATTTGGAGTTATTGCTATTGATGAACAAAGAGAAGTATATTTTGGCTAAAGCAAAAATTGAAGATATAATGGAGGAAATATTTGCCCAGGCACCTGGAATTAAAAAATATTTAAATGGCTAATTATGAATCAGCCGCTGTTTTATTTATATAATTATTTAGTTACTGTTATTTATTGTTTGTAGTTTATTTGAATATATATATATATAAGATATAAAAAATATGATAGCTGCTCTAATAAAAAAACTGGTGACCTCAAAATTAACATTCTAGATTTGGTGGTCTCCTCCTAAATTCATCTGTTCTAACAAGTTTGAGATCCTTCTGTGTTATGTAACAATCTAAGATTAACCAATCAAAGCTTGTCTCTAGAATTGCACCTACTTTGGTATAAATACCACTGGCGAGTTAAGCCATGATAACTGTAAGCTGATTCCTCATATGCAGTAAATTATGACTTATATATACAAGGTCTGTCCTGAAAGTAATGCACCCATTTTTTTAAAGAAATTTATTGAACTGATTCATACAAGTACTCAATATTTTTTTAAATATATCCCTCCTGCTTTAACACACTTGTTCTAGCGCGATTTCCATGCTTTATATGTGTCTTGGAAGTCCGTCAAAAATGGATGTCCTTTAGTAAGCTCATCGTGGCCACCTTGATGTTCTCCAGGGTCCCCAAATGCTGTCCTTTGAGGGATTTTTTAATCTTCGGGAACAGAAAGAAGTCAGGCAGGACAAATCAAGACTGAAGCAATGCAAAAGTCTCCAACATCATTTTCTCAAATTTGAAACAAAACTTTGCGTATCGCGGCTCGAGAGTTTTTTCCATCTTGATTTCGACTGAGCACTCACACAAAGGCTCTCTGAAACAGGCACTGTGACTCTCCAGGAGCTCGGAGCCGATTGGCACTGGTCGCAGTGTTCGTGTGTTCCTAAGACTCTACCCACCCTTCCATGCAAGCGGCAATGCTGTGCGATGGAAAGTTGCAGCAGAAGAAAATGGGGCGCAATACTTTCAGGACAGACCTTGTACAAATGAGCTGTTACTTTTCTGCAAAGGTATATTTTTATTTTATAAAATAATTTTTTATGATGATGATAATGACAATGATAACTTATATGTGTAATGGATATTTCATAATGGGGCCTTAAGGCTGACATATTTTTAAACTTATTTCCTGGAATTATTCTAGCTTAATTAACCAGTCTCTCGAGCAAGTTGAAAATGACATCAAGAATTGCAAATTTTGCAATAAAATATAACGGTCAATTTTTGTCATAATGGAGTTAAACTTTTAATTTCATTTTTTCATAGAGAATATAAAACTTCTCCAAATTTAAGTATAGGAACTGGGAGCCTGCATTAAAAGTTAAATTTCGTTAGTTGCTGAAAATTAATTAATTATTATTTTTTTAAATTTGACATTGCAAAAAAGAGAGAAACAGCAACTCTGATCTAGGGCAAAATTAAGCTTTTGCCATTTTTTAAACTATAGAATTGACATTTTATACATACATTTCACATAACTAATTACAGAAATGATAATGACTTACCAATCCTCATGCTCTGAAAATGCAGGCCAGTGGCTTAATAATTTTGCTAAAGCAATGAAATGGTTAACTGTCCTGCACATATTGAGAAGAGTGTCGAATAAAATTTTTCTCTGAAATTCATCTTTCACTTCTTCTTCGGATACCTTTGAAAATATACACGTAATTCAACAGTAAATCTATGAGATTGCAAAGTTTTACAAAACAATGCAGAAATTTAATGCTAAAATTTAAAGTGGAAGCATTAAGCTTAACATCCTTGTATAAGGTAAATGATGAGAATTAGTTTCTCAGTTTTCAATATAGTTCTCATTGTTTTAAATGCACTTAGCATGGTTATCCTTTATGCAAGGGATTCCACCAGAAAAAATTACTTTGCTACAGCCTTCAGATTCTTTCATATTTTTAAATCATCCATTGTTGTACCAAATACAACAATGGATGTTATTTACTCTATAATGCATGATTCATCTTACTGAATTATACTGGTATGTGCTTACAATTTCATAATGTTTTGAATGCATACAAAACTAATGATAGCTTGATACAACTTATTTTACCAATGCCAGATTAGATGAATATAATGAAAGAGAAGCAGCTGGAATTTCCCATTTATAGCTGACGAACTTATATGAAAAACCAACAGTCTCTGGGATATTTTTTGGAATGTGTAATGACGCTATTTCAAAAAACTACAAATTGACTTATATTTACTTTATAATGCATGATTCATCTTACTTAATTATACTGTTATGTGCGTACAATTTCATAATATATTGAATGCATACAATAGCTTGATAAAATTTATTTTACCAAAAGAAACACTTTACAGTTCTGGAAGTTTTATCAAAAAGATTTGTACAGCTCTTTCTAGTATGACAGAGCAGAATCAGTAGTTACCACTACAAACTACTATGAATGCTAAACACAACGCAGTGCAAAGCACCTCTAAAGAGCGATGCTTACATGGAGACATCTCAGCATTCTGAACTAAAAACTAAGAATTGATCTCTCTCAAGTCTTCTAAAGTTTTCTCCCAGCCATTAAGGAATTTCCTGTACCTTCCATTTCTCAAAATTACTGGAAATCATATATGTTTAAAGTCACATCTAAGGCCTGGATACAGTTACATATAGAGATCAACTACAGTTATACAGTGACTCGACAAAAACGTCGCCGAGACTCTGACTTTTAACAATTTCTCGCCAATTGAGTGAGAAAGCCATTTACAGCAATGTTAAGTAGATTAGCCCCTGATATCTTATACTTCTGGAAGAGTTTTGCTCTTTTCAGACTTTTCATGTTACATTATATAAAATTTGCAACAAAATATAATATGATTCTGATGTAAAATATAATATTAACAATTAATTAGATGTTCTAAATTTTGTGCTCTTTAGCTACTTTGTAATTTTTTTTCACTTTTATACTAAGAAAATCTTGAACAGAGAAGAAAAGCATTTATTTATTAAAGTATTTTTAAATATGACGAAAATTAAATTAATTTTAATGTAAATACTATTGTGTGGATGCACTTAGTAATGCATCATTTGTTGAGGCAAAATTAACTGATTAAACACTAATCAAAGATTCATAAACAAATCTAAAAATATCTACACTATACTTAGACAGTTAATTCGATTAGAAAAATTATCTGAAAATAACTAGAGTTGGCAGAATGGTATTTGCCAAATTAAAGTTACATTCATTACTGAGAAACATTTTTCCTTATTAATGGCTGAAGATTGAAAGCCATGAGATTCGGTAATCTCCCAGGAGAACAGCAGTTGTGATGGCAAATGAGAGTCTCACAGGGAAACCTAGAGAGCTGGTCACAGTGCTAGAATTTTACGATGCTGTCGCATTCTACAGGTTCATGGATTTGGAGCGATTGATAATACCACTGAAGAATCAAAACACAATTTATTCATCAGTATTACAGAGAACAGTCCAAAGATGCATTACAGTCATCTAAAAACTATGACAAACATAATGAAACAATCCACAACACAACCTTCAGACTAAATTGCAGCTCTCGACTCAGTTAGGTCACTCTCAAGATGACCTCTGAACCCTAAACCCACTTTTCAAGGAAGCTATCTTACTGCAACTGCACATTTTGAAATGATATAAAAGCATATCCCATCTTAATCACTATAATGCTAGCGGGCTCACTACTCTGAAGGAGGTTACGAAGATAGTCTCTAAACTTAATCTAAAGAAGACGCCAGGCATTGATGGGATCATGAATCTCATGATCAGGAATTTGCCTAAAAGTGGCATTACAAGACTCACAGGCATCTTTAACGCTTGTATTACGTGTTGCTACTTCCCAGAAAGCTGGAAATGTGAAAATATTTTTGCTTCCCAAACACGCTAAAGACATCACTAAAGTAGAAAATCACAGGCCGATTAGTCTTTTATCCAATCTAGCCAAGATATTTGAAAGGATTATCTTACAAAAATTTCAGCCCTACTTGCAATTCCTACCTGATGAACAGTATGGCTTTAGGAGTGAGCTGTCTACTGCGAAACAACTAATTAGACTTGTTGAGTTCATTGGATCCGCACTCCATCATAAAAGCTGCACAGTACTGCACATGCTAGACATGGCCAAAGCATTTGACCGCATTTGGCATGAGGGTCTAATCTACAAAATAATCAATTTTAATATTCCCAGAGAGCTTATCTTACTGACACATTCTTATATCACAAACAGATTCTTCACTGTGAACTGCAGACAGAGTCATTCTGGCTACAAGATGATGTCAGCAGGGGTCCTGTTTGGGGCCAATTCTTTATTTATTCTGTGCGGCAGATTTTTCCAAGGAACAAATTAAATTGGAACATGCTACTCGCCTGCTATGCGGATGATACGGCGGTAGCAGTTAAATCAGTAAATCCTAACAGAGCCATTAACATTTTGCAAGATATTGTCCTTGATATTGAAGAATGGTGCTCCAACTGGAGGATTTCTATTAATGCTGATAAGTCTCAACTGTTTTCGTATGCAGGAAGAAATTAAAAGTTGTTATTCAGCCACTGTACTTATTCGGCCAGCGGGTATCCACAGTTCCACTTGACAAGGCCAAATATCTAGGAGTTTATCTAAATCAAAGGCTAACGTGGAACACCCATATCAACTATGTAGCTAACAAAACTAAAAGTGTTGCACAGCAGCTGAATCTTATACTTGGTAGGTGTTCTAAATTGGACTTACGCAGGAAGCGACAAATTTATCTTTCCATTTTGCGACCTATCATGTGTTATGCCAGTTTGGGCTATGGCAAAGAGCAATGAACTGCACAAATTACAAGTTGTACAAAATAAAATCTTGCACACCATTACAAACGCACATTTCTATATTAGGAACAAACTACTGCATGATGATTTGAAGGTAGAATTCATTGATGAGTACCTCCATAGATTAAACAGTAAATTTTATGATAAGGGTTTAAAATGCACCGTGGGCAATTTTAATGCTTCTTTAAACTACATATGCATCCCAGAAGATGTCACACTAAGGCCTTTTACAGCTCACAGAATGCAAGACCATAATTTCGTTACTTAAGCATACACTTTACTACATTTCTCATTGTAAATATCATTAATTTACACTTTATTTGTTTATTTGTTCATTTTTCTGCAACTTGATATCGTTACATTTGCACATGTATGTTTTGGTTACGAATATTTCTCATCACCTCTTTAATAAGTGGTAGTTATGTAATGATTATCTTAGCTTGACTTTCTGCTTTGCGGCCAACGGGCCCTCTTTCCTACCTTGATCTGTTCCCGGCTGGGATTTAGTTGATAGTTTACACTGTGATGTTCACTAGGGATTAAAAGAACAGAGCTTATAAAAGCCGCAAGGCTACATAAGCATATGCAATTCGCATTTAAGCATCACTAATAGGAGTAAAGTTAACAGTTTGGCAAATTAACAGTTGTATGATATTGTGGATATATATCCAATTAGCAAAGTTCTATGTTCATCCCAAGAGAGTATTGCCCAAAATCTTCCGTATCAAACTGCCAAATTTCACCAAAACTTTACAGGAGCATTTCTGCTGAAATTCCCTTTCCTGTCCGAGTTATTTAGTTGCTGGATTCAGAACTGAAACATCTACAATTCTACACAAATATGCACTCATATACAGAATTATATGGCCACTAATTCAATTACAGAAAAATGCACACTGAAATTATTACCCTAAGTGCAAAAAATAAACAAATAAATAAATAAACCTATACAGTCCAAAGTCTTTAATCCAGACGTCCATAATCCAGAATGATCTATAATCCGGACCTCAAAGCTACAAACTTTCTGCACATGCGTAAATGCATTTACGCATTATGCGTTTACGCATGCGTGTTTAACGTATAACGGACGGTATAAGCTAAGCTAAAATTATCTAATTATCTATTTCAGTTAATGTTGCAGATTGCGTTGTTCTTTAATCATCTAATTGGATCCGGCTTATTACTTTTTTGCAGACTGTTAGAGCAATTTTATAAAAGTAAGCTTGAACTTTCGATTAAGTCAAAAAGAATTTCCGATTCTGGAGCTGCCAAAGGATCTACAAAGCGAAAGCATGTTTCGATGTCCATCAAACAGAAAGTGGAATTGCTGCAAAAAATGGATAAAGGCATATCCTTTGTTTCTCTAACCATTCCGAAATCTGTTTATCAATTTCACGCTGCTCTGTGTTGATGGGGGGGACGTCATGGCGGGCAATGAACTGGAAGTTGATCTGTCAGCACTATCCTTATCTTCAGGGCAGATGTTTTTATTTTATTCAGCTTATAATTCCTTACTAAATATAGTATTTCATCTCAATGTACTCCGTGTGTGTATTTAATTATGGCAAAGCACACGAGGGCTATCTGCCTAAGGGGAGGGATGCCTTCGTGGAGGACTTTCTAAGGGAAACTGGCTCGTATACACGTTACACATGGGGAAAACCACGAAAACGCCCATGCAGCCAGCCCGTTCGCGGGATTCGAACCTCGGACCGAACTACCAGTGTTCAGCGCCTTTACCGCTCGGCCGCTGGTGGGCCTCGATCTACTCTGTCTTTGATATGATTTAAATCAAATTCATCATCATTATAAATATCACGAATACACATCAAATAGTTTTCTGGTTGCAATTTTCTAATTTTGACTATGCGTAATGTATGCTTTACGCATGTGCGCGTTGAAAGAAATGTTTAATAAAGTAAACAAGTAAATATTAAGCTTTTTTTTTTGTAAATTTTGATGCGCTTTAAATTATAATTGCTCTTTATTTCATAAATTACGATTTCATATTTTTAATTTTATAATTTCTGCATGCCATCTTACCAGATTTAAACTGATGATTTATAATCCGAAAAAATCGATAATCCAGAATCGCCCGAGAAGTCCGAATTAAAGACTTTTGACTGTATATAATATTACAACAATGTAATCAGATGGATTTAAATATTTACAGAAATTTACGACAATGTATTCTGGATTACATACAATTAAATTACATATCTTTGCAAATAAAATCATCATCTTCTAAGCAAACTAACCATTTTTGAGAAAAAGTCCAATTAACTTGAAAAACTGGTTAATTCTTCCCTCACTAGATTAAGAATGTTATATTTTTTAAGTATACCAGCTTAAAATGCATATACACTCCCTAGTTCCATGGTTATAGACTTTTTTTAACTGTTTCACAGAATGCTAAGAAGTGTAAGCTTACTTCAAGATTAGGCCATAAGGAAGTAACCACTGCCTGTGTTCGATATAGAAGTAATAAATCACCATATTCAGGTGAAAGACAATCAGTCTAAAAGAAAAAGCAAGAATTAAAAGCAATTCTAATTAAAAAATAATACACCAAAGCAAATTTATTAAAGGAATTTTCTATTTAAAACAAATAAATATATAAAACTGATCTATATTCAGTAGGAAGACTGTGCATATACTTTTTTTAATTTGTGTCTAATCTGAGAGCTCACAGTTTTTTCTTGTCTGCTAGAAACTGCCACTGCATGTACAGCTAGCTAATGCTTTAAAATCACTTGGATTGTCTAAAAATTATTTGAAAAATAATTTAATTGCATTTTTATTCCAATGATACTAGTGTCTTGAATTGAAGACACTAGTATCAAGAAATCTTGAAATTGCAATCAAACTTATAAACTACGTAGGATATTCAAAAAGTAACTTAACGTTTTAGAATTTACAAAAAAAAAAAAAAAAAAAAAAAAAAAGAGAGAAAGTAAAATTTTTTTATTCCTTACATTTGAAAGGCACATTATTCATCTATTTCTCTACATAATCTCTGTATAAATTACGACAATTATCATAATGGTACATGAGATTGTTAATTGCATCATCATAGAAAGTTGCCGCCTGAGACTTCAACCAGGCACGAACCACCTGCATGCAGTTCCTCGTCATTTTCGAAGCGTTGTGTTGCATGCCAGGCACACACAAGTGATGAACTTTACCCAAGTCTCGTCTCCTGTTACGACGTGATAGAGAAATGTTAAAGTTGCTGCCATGTGCTGCTTTTTGTGATCTTCTGACAAGAGTTTTGGTACCCATCTGGCACAAAACTTGTGATAGCCTAGACCCAGCATCACAATACCAAACAACAAAGTTCGTGAAATTTGAGGAAAAAGTCCAAAATTGTGAAGTGGTGGATTTCATTAATCTTTTCACTAATTTTCTCTACGAGTTCAGCATTAACAATGCTCAGCCGGCTACTTCGCACTACCTCATGAAAATTTTTGTGGCCACTTTTAACACCTTAACTGCCGCTGGTGTATATATATGCCTTGCTCAGCTGATGCAGTAACTGCCCCGGGTATATATATATACGCCCTTCCAAACTACTATCATTTGCTTTGCACTGCTACCCGTAAAATTATTCACAAAGCTTTGGAATGCAACACCACAATGACCTTGACAAAATATGTGAAGGAGGCTACTATTTCAGAGAAGTATGGGGAGAAATTGGAGAGAGGGGTGTGTCTAAAGCAGTGAAAATAATGACTGGGCGGTAATGGCTGGTGTTGTTCGAGTAAAATGTAATTGTTTTAATTCTGTGCCCTCCGTTTTCGTTTACTTCTTGTAGTAGGTTCCAGGAATTAAAAAAAGATATAACAGATGTTGCAAACCCATTTATCTGTTTTGAATTATTTTTTTTATGAACTACTCGTGCTTCATATTGTTACTGAAACTAACCGTTTTGTAGACGAGTATATAAACCAACACCTTGCAAACGAAAAATCAAGAACAAAATCGTGACATTCAACCAGTTCAGAAGAAATATATGTTTTTTTAGGCATACTGATTTCACAAGGTATAACACTGAAACCTGATATTACACTTTACTAGTCTAAAAATAAATTAATTGAAACTCCAATATAAGGATCATTTTTTATTATAAAAACATAAATTTTATTATACTTACATATTTTTATTAGATTTTTACTCAAAAAATTTTGTGCATTCATTTTTTTTCTTTTATTCTTTATTTTGTGGAAGTAAACAGTTTTTAGAAAGTAAAACTTGCACTTATTTTCACCCTAATACATCGCATAACTAGCGCCTGTGTGAAAAACCGTGGCACTGGGAAATGAATCTTGTATGTTTTATGCGGCAGTTAAGGGGTTAAACATGATGCACCATTCTCTCACACCAGCTTCACTCATTATATAGTTTTCATACACCGTACAAAGTTCCCAATAAATTTCAATTGGTCAGTTTTTTTTTGCAAACTAATTTTGTAATGTTTCGTGTGTTACCTTTATTTATTAAATATCATGTTCTTCACACTTAAAATTAAATTCAACAGCAATATCACAAAATAATTTAAAAAGGAGGTACTCCTCTTATATCAAGTTGCCAAATGTGGCGATATGTGTTCTGCGCTGGTTGTTGGGGCGATTGCATGTTCTGCGATGGTTATGGAGGAGATGTTGGTTTCCATGGCAATCCTTTTTACATTGAAACTTGGATTTTGCTGTAGTGGTTTTAGTTGCCGGTTAGTTTGTGAGGTAGCTGGTTTGAAATGGTTTATGATGCAATGAAAGATGTGTTGAGAAAATTTTAGTTGCATGCTTGGTACAATTATTTTTTTGGGTAGCTGGAAATTCTACAAGGATTTAGGAGAAGATTTTGTAATTTATTTTGTTGATTAGTGCGCAATGCCTGGATTGTGCAATTCGTAGATTTTTTTTAAGCAGAATGGTGTGTACAAGGTATTATTTGAAATTTATTGTTGTTTATTTATTTAAGCGAGGTGTGCATAGCTCTAGATTCCTTCGCTGGCTAGATTGTGCAATTTGTAGATTTTTTTTAAGTTAAAACATATCACTGTGTATATGCATTCTTGTCAAATATTTTTGGTTAGAAACTTTACGTGTCTGTTATCTAAATTTTTTGTTTTTGTTTCGGATTTTTAGCCTAAAAAATTGTGTGTTCAAAATGTTGCTTTGCATGTGCGAAAAACAGCGTTTTTGGAGACATTTTAGGCTTAAAGTTTGAAATGTAGACAAAAAATTTAGATAGTAATATGGCACCGTGGATTTTCTCTCCAAACATATTTGGCGAGAAATTTGGCAACTTGAGGGCACATATAAGAGTAGTTCCACACTTTTATTATATTTGTAGTTTTTTTGTTTACACTTTTATTATATTTGTTTGTTTGTTTCTTTGTTTACACTTTTATTATATTTGTTTGTTTGTTTCTTTGTTTACACTTTTATTATATTTGTTTGTTTCTTTGTTTACACTTTTAATATATTTGATTGTTTCTTTGTTTACAATTTTATTTAACAGTTACTGTTATGAGAAAAAGATTTTGAAATTTTTCAATGGCAACACCTACTCTTTTCCTGTGCAAACTGATCAGTGTGGGTTTTGCACCTGAGAATACTGTATTTTTGGAGAGATACGGTAGAGTCTTAAAGTTCGAAATGTAGACAAAAAATTTAGATAGTAATATGGCAACGGGGAGTTTCTTGCCAAATTCTCGCCAAACATATTTGGTGAGAAATTTGGCAACTTGAGGGCACATATAAGAGTAGTTCCACACTTTTATTATATTTGTAGTTTCTTTGTTTACACTTTTATTATATTTGTTTGTTTGTTTCTTTGTTTACACTTTAATTATATTTGTTTGTTTCTTTGTTTACACTTTTAATATATTTGATTGTTTCTTTGTTTACAATTTTATTTAACAGTTACTGTTATGAGAAAAAGATTTTGAAATTTTTCAATGGCAACACCTACTCTTTTCCTGTGCAAACTCATCAGCGTGGGTTTTGCACCTGAGAATACTGTATTTTTGGAGAGATACGGTAGAGTCTTAAAGTTCGAAATGTAGACAAAAAATTTAGATAGTAATATGGCAACGGGGAGTTTCTTGCCAAATATTTTTGGCAAGAAATTTGTCACCAAGCGAGGGCGTACATACGAGTAGTTCCAAAAAGAACGTATCTTTAGAATTTCCAATGCACAGTCTTGCACACTGGAAATATTTTTTTTTTTTTGGTACAGCTTTGGCATTGCTTGCTTTGAGTTTGTTAATCAAAATTCATTAAAGTTTTACAAAACATGAAATAGATTCCAAATTCAGGTTCCAAATGGCCATATTCGAGTGGAGGACTATGTTATTTCAAATTTGATGTCTCTAGATACCATTGTTTTTTCACAGTGTGAGAAACATACATACATTTATTCAGATTCTTTGCTATTTAATTTCTTTAAATATAATGCAGGGCTCTGATATGTGGCAATAATTTGAAAAGTGAAATGCCGTTTATAGTGAACCAATGCAAAACACCAATACAAAATTAATAGCCCTTCTGGGCAAATTGCTCCTTTGGGCTAATAATAATAGTTTATGATTAGGTGCTGGTCAGTAGCAGGTGATACCAATAGAATTGGAACAGCAAATCAGTTATTCTTAATAAAAATAGCACTAAATGATCTATGAATTTTGCCCTATGAATATTATTTACAAAATCCATTTTTAAAAATTTCTCGTCATTAACACACTTAACATTTCTCGACATGGTTTCCTGAAATCTGCAATCCCAAAGAATAATGTCAACCTAAAAGGTTTTTAAACATTCTCTTATGGACATCTCTCAGCCGACATTGGAGCAAATCCATTTTGATGGAGGTGTGGCTACCAGTTTTGCCACAACTTTTTACTTAGTCATTTGGCAACACAATAGGGGCAATGTGTTTATGTTGATTTCATGGGTAAGGTAACTAACTCATTTACACGTTTTTGATTATTTTATCTCTATCTGTTTTTGTCTCATCATTTAGCAAGTACAAAATAAAATGCATCTCTTGCATCTGAGAGAGCTTTTCCAATCCTGGGGACATATGGCCCACAGAAACTTTCAGTATCCACTCTTTAACATCTGCTAAACGCTAAAATTAATACAGACTTTCTTGTGAATTTTATGATGTAATTAAAACAAATCATTTCTGGAAAAAGTCATGTCTAGTGAAAAATACATCTGAATAAACAAAGCTTAATGTTTCAGTAAACTATTAAGACTTTTACGTAATTCCAAAAATATATGTCCTGGATCGGACCCCCAAAAATATCGTAAGCCTAGTTATATGATATTTAGCAGATGTAAAATTAGCAATAAACTTTGACAGGATGTTTTGGCTTGAGATAAGTGTTGAACAATAAGGTGATTTATGAGGCCAAATTACTGATCATACAGATTTATACTGATAAACAATTGTATTTCTTCAACATGGGGGTATTTTATTTAATACCAAAGTGAAATCGAAAATCAAGACTCTCCACGCATTCTGTTATGAAAATATGTCTACCGTTGCTGAATGAAACATTTAGCATATGATACTTTTGGAATCTAATTCCTTCTTGTTTTTCACAAAAATTTCTAAAAAGAAATTATTGGTGGTCAAGAGTTCCACATCATTCTGGATACTGGACATCTCAATTTCAGACTGTGTATTGTATAACAATAGTTAGTAAAAACTAATGAGATACTTCTTAATTACTTTTCATTTTATTTTACCAGTAACAAGCTGTTAAACCAGAAGGAATTTTAGACACTCAATGGAATTAATAGCACTTACTATTTTTTGATAGGATAATTTCACAAACACAAATACTTGTTACATAACTCTTGCTTGCATTCATGGCTGTATGGGGTATAAGTCTCTATAGTGTTTACATTTACAGGTTATGTGTGGCACAGCTTTGGTTGCATACAGCACATTGTTCAATTATACAGCATCTGCATGTGTTTGAGTCATGTTTTTGAAAATTCAGGAGTTAATCATAAATTGGAGAATGGAATATTTAAATTTGCATGTAACAATAAATGAACTATCAATTTAAGGAAAGGTTTTTGGTAAGTTTATATTCATCAACACCAAAAATCTGACTTTCCTGTAATAAAAATTGATCTAAGATTTCTAAGAAATTCAGAAGTCATACACAAACTGAAAAGTAAAATATTTAAATTTCTACATAACTGAAAATAAAATACGAATTTAAGAAAAAGTTTCTGATCTTAATAATGAGCATCATTATGCAGACCATCAAGAAAAGTTTTGATCACTACAATTTTTGAGAAAGGAGATACTATTAGCAGAATCCTAAGAATTAATCCAACAACAAAAGTGATATATCCTAATTAATAGCATCACTGAAGATCAGCAGTGAATGATTATTTCTGTGATTTTATGTAACTTACTTTTTCTAATAGCTGAAGAATGCTCAATCTAGTAGACACTGAAATGTTTGCATCTTGGCAAAATTCGTTAAGTATCTCAACTGCCAAATCTTCAATCATCAATTCTTCTCTGAAGGAAGAGATGCATATATTATTAATGGTGCAGTTAATAGATGGAAATATTTTTATTAAACAACTACAGAGGGTGCTTACACACTTTTGTAATGATTTTGATTTCCACCATGAAATTAAATATTAATTTTAATATACAAATGTGACTGGCATCAAATTGGAATAAGGTTTAATTATCGCCTGCAGCATTAAAATATTCATTTCATTAAAATGTCGCTGAAAATTAAACAATGGATAGAAAGCTATACTTTTGCCCTGTCTGAAGAGAAATACTCTTATTATATTAATAAAAAAGATGTGAAAAGCATGATTTTAATATTTCTACATGTAAAATATGGACATAATTAATACAAAAGGAAAGAAATTTCAAAGTTTACATTTGACTGGGAAAGAGGCAAAAAATGCATACCCAACAAACAGCTATTATTAAATCTTCGCTTCTCATGTTTTAAAGGAAAATTCAGCCACTCCAAAGAGCTACTGCAAAATCTTTAAATATTTCTGTTGGAAGTGTGAACAAAATTATAAAATCTGATTTAAAACTAATTAAAAAAACATGATGTTCATCGCCTAATGCTGAAACATGTTTCTCAGCATAATACTATGTGCAGATTGCTGTATGAAACTTATCTGGCAGGTGAAAAATACACATATATAGTTACAATTGATGAGGTTTGGATATACTTATCTGACTGCAATATAAAAAGATTGATTTACTACTGGGAAAAGAGGAGAAAAAGAGTTTTCAGAGTTTTCTCTGAATCAACATTCTTAATATGTTGATTCAGAGAAAACAAGGAACATTTTTCTAAAGGTTTTATGGTTATTGCAGTCTCTCATAATGGAAAACTTCATTCAGAGTGGAATAAAGTTAACCTTGATGTTTTAAGAATAAGACTTTCATCTTGGAAATCAAGATGAGATATGATAGTTCAACAAAGGGGCTATCAGAATGAACTTACTAGAAGATTAAATTCTAAGGTTTGTTTATATATAAATTTTTGCAAAATCGTTACAAAAATATGTGGACATCCTCTGTTTTTCCATGTAGTACACAAGAAACACATATAAGGATAAAGGAATATAAAATATAAATCTAGTTTGACCTCAACAAAAAGTAGAGGTAGTGAGAGGAATGTAAATTGTTCTCTTTAAATGCTTCATATTTGAAATTGTCTAAAACATGTCCTACGATAAAATTTATAGCCCTGTGAGAGAAATTATTATTGATCCTCAAAATAATATTTTGTACAAATTTACATTCTGAAAATGTCACTTTGGGATAAAATAGTCCAAAAAAGTGGGGCTACAGATATGATGGAGCATAGCTGAAGTGCTAAATGTTTTCTGCTGGCAGAAAAAATACAGTAATTATCTATTTTTATCAACTATTAGTTTGTAATAAGAACATGAATGGAAACTCCCATTAATGCAATTACTCCAACATTTTTCTAGCATGAAAAGTTCATGTAAACAAAGGATGTCTTAGATATCAAAACAGACATTCAGAATTTTTCTAGTTAACTAGGAACCAGATGTAACATTTAGATATGAAAGTCAAAATTTGGACAGGGGGAAAAAAAAAAAAAAAAAAAAAAAAAAAAGAAAAGAAAAAGGTTACTGAGCTTAAGCCAAGACTATAACAAGTTTTTGCAACTGAAATTTCTGGGGGGATACTAGAATTCCAAATGATTTACCAGTAGATTGATCACAAAAGTGATACTAAAGGTTACATAATTCAAAAATATAATTTTTTATATTTAATCATAATACACATTAATCAGCTTTCTCAATATGAATATTCAACTTAGAATTTTCTAGCAATTCTTAAACATCTCCTTCTCCTAGAGGCGAGTTTGGTCGAATGTCACGGCCTTCTATTTGATTATTAACATCATTATATCCTCTTCATTTCAGTTCCCAATTCTTTTCAATAAAAATGATAATTTTTAATCTAAGACTAGAAGATTTTATCATCCAGACATCCTTTACTATATAAAAGAAATGGACAAATGTAAAAACGAGAGTGCAGCCGAGGGGATAAAATTCTTACAATTGTTCAAGAATGGTTACTGTAACTGAGAACCAAGGTAAAATTCAGCATGCAATGGTAAAGTGCCGAATGAAATGTATCTCTTAACATGCTCACTGCTATCTATAAAAATATTTATAGTTGGCAAACTGAGTTTATTTTCCAGCTACAAGAACAAGGTAATAGTAATTAGGTGTAACAGAACAAGTAATTAGGTGTTCGGTATAGAAGAAGGGGTTAAATAATTTACTTGGCATACTGAAATGCATCATTCATTTCTTGAAATTTAAACACAATAACTAAATGTTTAGGATGCAAAAATATATTTATTCATGAGAAATTTTGAAGACCACAACAAATAAAAGATATTTTTATTACACTATGTTGGAATTGGATTATGCTGAGCTATAAGTGTCTCATGTGAATTTATTTACTGCTAAAAGGGATCTGTTACACCTATATTTAAATAATATAACAACAGAAAGTAATTTAAAAATCTAAAAGTACATACAGGATTTTTGTGTGTGTAAACAGATCCACCACATCAGCTTTGGCAGTGAATGTGTTAAGTTTGGATTGGTTTATTTGATTATGACAAAGCATGTGAGGGTTATTTGCTGATAAGGTAGAAATGGCTTTGTGGAGGATTTTCTAAAGGAAACTGGCTCGTATCCAAGTTGCACACATGGAAAACCAGAAAAACACTCATGCAGCCAGCCCGTTTGCTGGAATTTGAGCCCAGGCAAAACTTCAGTGTTCAATGACTTTACTGTTCAGCCACCAGACGGCACTTAAAACTGAAAGAATTGAGAAACTGCTAATGACAAAAACGCTTGTTAATTCTATAATGCTTTGACCTATATTATTTGAATGAAAGCACACAGTAATTGTTCAGCTCATCTGTAGCTCTATCTGCAAGACAGGTGACAAATTAATTGCATGCTTGGCGATAAATATAGCTGGATTTATAGAACAATTATAATTTTGAATTATGGCTTTCAATTTTGGTTGAATTCTTGCAACAAAATCTTATCTCATGGCTTATATTTGGAAATATACAGTATTCTGATTTTCTATTCAATAAATACATAATATTATCAATTTTGATTCTTTAATAATATACTGAAAATATTCAATTTTATCATTTTTATGTGTCATAAAAGTCCACACTAAATACATCAATGCTATAACAACTTACTTTTCTTTAGATATGTCTTCCAAAATTGCTTCTAAAATATGAACTGGTGTTATAGTTTTAAAACACGAATATACCATGTTTTGAGGTTGCCTAAAAATAAATGAATAACAATTAAGTGAAGTCAAAAATGCAATCTTTTTTATGATTTATGCGTGCAAGTACTTTTGCTGTCAAATAATAAAAGGAATTCTAAAATACAGTTTTCCTTTAATTTTTTAACGCAGTATTTTTTAAAATTTAAATACACTTGTTTTTACATCTTTTATAGCTCAAAATGGGATGGACCTTAGAATTGATGGTATTTTAGAAATGCAGATTAAAAAAAATATTCTGATATAATACAAATTTTCCAAATTGCTAATTTAATTGTATAATTCTGAAAATCTAAATTGCATTATTTTAATTGTACAAACAAATTCATAATTTCATGAATTCCATTTAAATTGACAGTGAATTTAATTCTGAAAATTCAAATTATCAATTTAAGCAGAAATTATATTGAAACCAAAAACTTTCCCAAATTACTATCTTAAATATGAATACAATTATTGTTAATAAATCAACAATAATTGCATCCATATTAAGTTTGATTACAACAAAAAAAATAAAGAAAGAAAAAATTTAATGTTCATTTTCCACATTAAAAATGCATTAGGAAACAGAAGCTCAAATTGCTTATACAGTAAGACCTTGCCTAACACTGGTGCATTTAGGGCTATTTCGGTTTAACGCATTTTTATTGGAATAGTGAGATTCTCTGAAAATTGCATGCAGCACTGGGCTTCCCTGAAATGGAAAGTAATATATCTGCATTACTTTTTCTCTACAGTGTTATACAAATGTATTTTCATTATTTCAGACATTTGTTGTTGTTATTGTAAGTAAAAATTTTTGTAACACAATGACTGATATAGTAATAAATATTATAATTTTTTAATTTTTAATATGGATGATAATAAGAGACACGAAAATAAAGTGACAAGAAAAAGCATTTTGTTAGAAATTAAAATAAAAGTGCTTAGAAGATTAGAGATAGTGGTGAACATGTCAAATTGGTATTCCATTAAACTCATCAACTTCAGCAATAAGGACAATTTTCAAGAATAACAAAAAAAAAAAAAAAAAAAAAAAAAAAAAAAAAAATCATCAACAACTACAACTACAAAAACTTCTGCAACTAAAATAACCTGTTCTAGAAATAATACAAAAGAGGAGATAGAAAAATGGCTTATATAAAATTTCTGTAGAGATTGACAACAAAATTGAATGCAAGATGCCATTAAGCCAAGCTATTATAATGGAAAAAGTGAGAATTTTTAATCACATTCAGATTGAAACAGGTGACACAACTGAAACTTTCGTTGCAAGTCGGGGAAGTTTAAATAGATTTAAACATCAAAATAATCTTCATAACATACAGATTAAAGGAAAAGTAGCAAGTGGAGATGAAAAAGGCGGCTAAATTTCCAGCAATATTAAGGACAATACTTGAATGAAGAAACTATTCTCCAGAATAAATTTTTAATGTTGATGAATTGCACCTATTTTGGAAAAGAATGTTAAAACATACATTTCTATCCCATGAAGGAAAATATGCACCAGGATTTACAGCTGCAATCTTTTTAACCTCGCTTAACATAAGGATGCACAACCTTTTTAGCAGAAAGGCCACAAAAGAAACAACTTGGTTGCCAAGGGCCAATAGCATATGTGGGGAAAAAATGCGGGGGGGGGGGGGTGCCAATACAATAAATCGCTTTATTTGCAATTCAGACATGTACCACATCAAATTTAAATTGCTTTGGAGACCATTATATATGTATGTAAGCAAAGAGGTGTAAGCAAACACCCATTTCATCTTGAAAAAAATTACAGTTTATGCTTGTGCACAATAATTTAATACTTGTATACAAATATTTTAATAAAAATGTGTACAAGTTGGCCATAGTTAAATACATTAGTGTGATGGTTGAGACTGAATTTTATCAACATTTTTTGATATTAAGATACAATAACATGCTGAACAAGTATTAATTTAGAAGTCAAATGACAAAAATCAGCATTATATTTTGAAATTTTCACAGGACTAGTTTCGATGGTTTTATTGAACCATCATCCTCATCTGCAAAAGTGCAAAGAAAAATGTTTGTTCACATATATAAGTACTACCAAACATGGTAGCACATCTGTTTGCATTACTTTTTAAATGCAGAAATTCAGCAGGTAGAGTTCTATAAAAGTCCAGAATATCTAAATCACGGAATCTGGCTTTGCATAAGTTTGAAAATCGATAGTTCTATTTGAACATCTTTTGAAACTTCTTCCACTACAACAGAAAATGGATTTTGGACAGTTTAACTTTAACCTTATACAACTCAAAGTCTGCATATCGCTTTTCAAAAAAAATAAACAGCCTCTTTATTTGATCTGAATAATTCAGTTATTTATCAGGAAAATTTTGACAGCCAAGCTGCTTTGAGAACAGCTGGAGTTTTAGTTGGAAAGCAGATACTGCATTGGTCAGGTGATTGATGAATTGGTTTTTTCCCATCAATTTTTTGTTTAGGTCATTCAGATGGGCTGTCACATCAGCTAAAAATGCTAAGTCACACTCAAAAGATGGTTCCTTTAACATCCTAGTTTGCTTCCCATTTTCTTCAAGGAATGGTATTATTTCATCAATCAAATCAGCAAACCTTTCCAAAGTCTCTCCATGGCTCAGCCATTGTACTTCAGAGTAATATACGAGATTACTGTGTGGTGCATCTGTGTATTCTAGGATTTTCTTAAATTACCTGTGGTTTAAACCATGCGAGTGAATGAAATTTTATTAAGCAGTCAAATCCTAGTTCCTTCGCACATAGCACACATCTGGAAAAAGTTCCAGTTGTTTGCCCCTTCATTGAACTCATTCCAACAAGTTGTTCAGTTACTTCAAAATTTTCAGAAATTCCTGTGACAAACAAAAGAAGCTGAGATGTTGAAGTAATATCTGTCGACTCATCAGCTGCTAGAGAAAAGTACTTAAATTTTGTGGCAGTGTTCTGTAATTGTTCAGTAATATAACCAGATAAATTTTCAATTCTTCTTTGAGCTGTCATTCTGCTGAGACTTATACAGTCAACAGTCTTTAATCCAGACTCGTCGGGCGATTCCGGATTATCGATTTTTTCGGATTATAAATCATCAGTTTAAATCTGGTAAGATGGCGTGCAGAAATTATAAAATTAAAAATATGAAACCATAATTTATGAAATAAAGAGCAATTATGATCTAAAGAGTATCAAAATTTACAAAAAAAAGCTTAATATTTATTTGTTTACTTTATTAAACATTTCTTTCAACGTGCGCATGCGTAAAGCATACATTACGCACAGTCAAAATTAGAAAATTGCAACCAGAAAACTATTTGATGTGTACTCGTCATATTTATAATGATGAGGAATTTGATTTAAATCATATCAAAGACGGAATACATCGAGATGAAATACTACATTTAGTAAGGAATTATAAGCTGAATAAAATAAAAACATCTGCCCTGAAGATAAGGATAGTGCTGACAGATCAACTTCCAGTTCATTGCGCGCAGCGACGTCCCCCCCCCACCCGCAGAGCAGCGTGAAATTGAAAACAGATTTCGGAATGGTTAGAGAAACAAAGGATATGCCTTTATCCATTTTTTGCAGCAATTCCACTTTTTGTTTGATGGACATCGAAATTTCGCTTTGTAGATCCTTTGGCAGCTCCAGTATCGGAAATTCTATTTGACATAATCGAAAGTTCAAGCTTGTTGGCTTTGTTTTCCACATGCAAATTTTGATCGGAGGTAAGCTAACGTGGTTGCCGCTGATTGGCCGATGACATCAAGAACGGCGGGTTGGCCGAGTATTATATATATGTACGCCGGTATCGGAAAATGTTCTTGTTCTCTTGTGTTATTATGAATTAGCATAATGCTAGTTTGCTTTCAATCAAATAATTTTAAATGTAAAGGCTACAGTGTTAGCTCTTTTATTTTATTTACGGAATAAAGCATGAATTTTATTTAGATTAGTCTTAGCTTTATTTAAGGGAAGCAAAATATGCTTTGCCTTTATCACCACTGCCAACAAAGCTTACTTTTATAAAATTGCTCTAACAGTCTGCAAAAAATAATAAGCCGGATCCAATTCGAAGATTAAGGAACAACGCAATCTGCAACATTAACTGAAATAGATAATTTAAGCTTAGCTTATACCGTCCATTATACATTAAACGCGCATGCATTAGCTGAATGTATTATGTGCATGCGTTAAAGTATTACGTGCATGCGTGAATGCCTATGAGCATAATGCATTGACGCATGCGCAGAAAGTTTGTAGCTTTGAGGTCCGGATTATACATCATTCCGGCTTAACGACTTTTGACTGTATTTTTAAATTTCTGCATAACTTCGGAGCATATTGTCTTGGAAGCCAACAATATACATTCCTTTGCAAAACCGTCATCAGCAAATGGGCCACCACTTTTAGCAATTAAGGCTGCAATTCCCAAACTAACTTCAACACAGTTATCTAACAGTAAAGATGCCTTTGTAAATATATTCCTTTGAGCAGCGAGAGAACGACGAAGAGATTTGATTTTACGGTTTCGATACTTTCCCTCAAGCTTTGGAAATGTCGAGTGTTTCATAGTGTCGCTTAATGTTATGCTCCTTGCAAACAATAATCGTAAAATTACATATCAAGCATGTAATTCTGTTATTTTCCTCCACAAAAAAGTATTTCAAAGTCCAGGCCTCCAAAAATTCCCTGTTATCATCCGCAAACTTTCTTTTCATTTTGAATCCATTCATCATGGCAACTTTCAAAACCATGAGGAACAAAAATTGCAAAAATTATACGTAGGTTCCACTTTCAAATTAATATTTAAACAAAAAGTAAAATATTCAAAACATGAAACTTCTTAATGGTCTTGAAAAGAAAAATAAACACACACGTGATAAAACAATATATAGTCATGAAGACAAAAGTACAACCAAGCAAACGAATGCACCGCTTCGGATTGCTTGATGCCAAGCAAATGAATGCACCGCTTCAGATCTGAACAAGTATTTTTCTCTTCCACTTTACTAGCGCACGCATGCAAACACACACGTGCTATGTCATACCACAGACTCTTTCTCAATCTTCTATAGGTGTTGGTCCACCAGGCTAGGAGCAATTCTTATATTCAGGCAGCGGATACGTGCTTTGGTTGATGCCGGGAACTTGGCTCACTGCCAAATCTCACTTCGAGGGGACAGAGTAAAATGAGTAACGAAGGGGGAGTGGTGAAATGTTTTTTGCTCACAACTCCTTCTAGAGACAACCAGTATGTTAAATCGTAACAAAAGTTTGAAATAGGTCTTGGCGGGCCACAAGTTGACCACTAGCAGCCACAGGTTGTGCATCCCTAGATTAACACTTCTTCTGGGTACTAACACCAATGGAGGCTTCAAATTAAACCACTTCTTGTTTATTATTCCAAAACCCCAACAGCAATGAAAGAAACATCAAAATCAACTTTCAGTAGATAAGAAACACAAAAGATATGTCATAAAAACTTGTAATTTAGGAGGTGTAATAAAAATTATAGATAACTATTAAAATTTTTCAGAATTGCTTCACTGAACATTTTTGATTGTCTGTTAAATGCTATTGTGAAATCAAAAAACTTGAACCAAAAGTGCTACTTTTAATGGATAATGCTTTAAGTCACCTAATGAATTTATCTTAGAAACATGCATTCCAGTCAAACTTGCCATCTAACACAAGTGCATTAATCAATCTATAGTTCAAGGTGTTATATGAAATTTTAAAGCTTAGACAAATATTTGAAAAAAAAAAAAACAGATAGAGATGATAAACAATCAATAAAAGATTTTTGGAGGAACCATAATATCATGGATGCTATAAAAAAACTAAAATCTTTCTTGGAATGAGGGAATGGAAAAATGTTTGAAAGGTGTGTGGAAAAACATTTGACCAGATTTAAACAAGGACAATGACACTAGAGATTCTGTTGTTAATGACACTAGAGATTCTGTTGTTGAACGGAATAGTGGAATAAGTGAAACAAACAGGTTTAGATGAAGTAAATATGGAAGATCTTGAAGAAATTTTGCAAGAAACAGCAGCAAGTCTTTCCATTGATCAGCTCAAAGAATTAGCAAATCATGAACAACACAAAAAATAAAAAATATAAATTCTGAAGAAGAACAAAAAGAACTTTCAACAGCATTTCTAAAAACCTGTTCAGCTTCCATAATGGAAATTACAGATGCAGATTTTGATAAGACTTCAAAGACAAGACAGGGTGTCATGGATGCCTTGTCGCCTTATCGAAAACTTCTTAAAGAGAGCAAAAGAAAAATGTAAATGACACTAGATACCTTCTTGATAAAAAAACAAAATTAGAAATGTAGAAAAATCTGAATGATCTAAAATATAAATGGTGACTTAAATTTTTATTTATTTCTATATATTCATTTGTTATGTTTAAATATTTGTAAGAATTATGTATTTATTTATTTTGTATTATTATAAAAACATATTTAATGGACTTAAAAAACAAAATACTTTTACATTTTTTTTAAAATTTTATACCTTTTCTCCTCTAACTCTATTATTTACATGATGAGATGATCTCGTTTAACGCTATTTGGAATAATGCTCTACTTTGATGGAACATAACCCCCCCTCCCCCTGTTAAGCAGGCTTTACTGTATTGCATAATCAGATCTTTTATTATTTTGCCATATGAAAATATTTCTCTGCTTGTTCACTTATCAAGCATCATTGATTGAAAGCTAAAACCTACTTTGAGATAAATGAACTAAACTAAAAGATATTAAAATTCTTGAAAAGAACACTAATCCTATGTTAAAAAATATGAAACAAAACAAAGCCTCTTCACTGTAATTTAGTATTTTGTTCTGCCAAAAATTATCTAAAGCTTCTTGAATTGAACTGAATTTTCCTCGAAGCTTTCCACATTCATAAAAATTTACTTTTTATAGTTAAAAATATTAATATTAATCTTCTACTTTTCAAAATTTTCAGCCCTTAGGTTTTCAAGTTTCATTACTGCTTTTCTCAACAGACAACATTATGTTTCGCTTCACTCTGTACACTTACTTCTGTTTAAAAATATGGTCTCCTGCTTTTCTCATTTTTGCAAAAATGTTTTGCTTCTAAAACAGAAACCATGTCTTCACCTACAAAATCGATAGAGCTCATATTTTGGCATCACAAACCTAGCCCCCTAGGCAGTTATCAGCTCCTATTCCTCAGTCACCAGTAGTCATCTCAAAAGTCAGTATGAAATGGTCCATTATATTTAAGTACATTATTAATGAAATTAAGCAGAAAAACACAGTGATCCCAGAAGCTGATAATTGTGGAGCAAAGCAGTATTTTAAGCAGTGGCAACAGTTGCCGAGATGCATAAATAATAAATGCAAATTAATGTGGTGTAATATAACATAACGTTCCAAACAATTTGAAAGCCTCAAGTGAGAACTTTTCAGACATCAATAAATACATGAAAAGCTTTAATTGCAAAAGTACACTTACTTCAACTGCAACAAAATAACATTTATTGCTTTAATATATGCATCAGCTGGTTCCCAACTAATGTCTGAGGGACAACAAGACAAAAATGTTTTCAGTAATTGCAAATCTGGTCCTTCGAGTACAATTCTAGCTAACAAATCTTTCAGCTGAAACAGAAAAATTAGGTAATAATATTTTTTTTTTTTTTTGAAAAGTTCAACAGTGAAAACACAAAAACATCAACTAGTACTACATTTTCGGACTAACTGCAGTAAAAGTAAACTCTATCCAGTTGGTATGCAAATGGTGATGAAGAGTCGCCTATAGCATGATAAACAGTGTAATCTGAGCACCCTGCAAAGGAGCTAAATGTGTTATTCACTTTTTCTCTCACTTTTCTTTTTTTCACTCCTTCATGAAAGGACAGTAATATAACTGTCTTGAATCTTAATTTATTATTATGTATAAATAAATGTGTTTGTGATCTTGCAATTTTCATCTACAACTTCTTTTTGGAATACTCCTTTTACCTAACTATAATGACATTCTGCTGGATACAAGGTAAGAGAAATTATTCTACTCTCAACTTTAGTAATTTGTTGTGAAAAATGTTTACAACGTATCCAAAATACAGTACTTGTAAAAAGTGCATAATACAGTCAAATTTAGCTGATAAATTACACACTACGAGATGTTACCGACATCAAATGCAATATTAATCAAATATGCTGAACACTATACTGCATATTATAATACTCAATACAGTAATGCATAATATACTGTACATTATAGCATATACTCTTTTCTATTGCACATGTGACAAAGACAGATTCTACAATTTAATTTAGTTCATGAAACATTAGTGAGATATGATTGATTAAAAATAACAAGAGACTCACACAAAGATAATGGTAATGAATTTTATATGTATTCCTGGCTTATATATTTTGGCGGTCACCATTCTTAGTAGCTGCATTGAAACAATAATTTTTCCACATTATATGCTAGAATTATACAATGTAAGCAAAAAAGACCATATTTAACCTTACAAAATTCCACACAGAAGGACAGTTTTCTAATTTATTTTCTGCTAGCTCCTGAAAGATCTGATTTCAAGTTGGATATACATTGGACAAAAAGGAGTCAAGGTATAAAGAGAGAGGATCATTTGGAATTATAATCAAGAAAATATCACTTACCAATGGCATTTTGAGTAATTAAGAATTTGAGCCAAAGATGTCAGTCTCGAAAGAATAAACATCTGCTTTGATCAAAGTAACTGCTAATCAGCAATAACAAAATAACTAGAAGAAAACATGCTTCCATGTGAAAACCTACAGAATTTTCCAGATAACCCAATATTGAGCTAGGTGTAAGAGGGGGAATACATGAATCTGCATAGTAATATGCTGATAAAACACATGAGGTTCCATATCAAATATATTCACTCCTACGATACTAGATGTGCATGCAATTTTAAATTTCACTGTTATTGCTTGCTGTAATTTGATATATATTAAAGAAATTTTTTTATTGTAACACCTTGGAACTAAATCAATTAAAATGTCTTCAGTAGTTTAAAACGTATATGGGGGCATAGACACTTATTAAAAATTTAGGAAGTTTAATATAAACTATGTACAATAAAATAACAGAAAACGATCAATGCAATGAATAATATAACTCTAAAATCACAAACAATATAACTCCAAAATTTAAAATTACTCATAACAGTGGATCGAAGATAATGATAATATGTAAGGATTTCTTTTTTCAGTAAGCTATAAAACAAGATGAAGAGATAAAAAGTGATAATGACAAAAATTAAAAATTGCACAGCAGACATTTGTAACTATAGATACACAAATGCCTTTCACTTTCTAAGTGTGTCTTAATATACACATGGGCTTAGAGTCCTTTAGCTTGTAGCTTATAAAGTTAATATTTCTATCCTGCAATTCTGATTACTCCACTGATTGAAAATGAACAAGCATGTACTTATGATTGCAAATCACATGGAAAGATGACAGCATGGGCATGCTCAAACTGATGAATTTCATTATTATGCTGCAATCCCTTGGCATGCATTTCAAAATTTAGTAAGAAATAGTAGAGAATTGAAACTGCACTACAGTGGCATGGCTATACATACCTCATATTAATATAAACACAGAATTAATGACTATCATTTTGAACAGCTCAGTACTTACTTCAGAGGTATATAAGACTTTCTTTTAAATATTGGAGGGGGGATTAGGTAAATGCTTAATTATTTGCCATATTTAGAATTTTCTACTTATTTTATATATATATATATATATATAAAGGATAGTATAATATACATTGAATCAATACCTTTTCTGTTGAGGATTTGGTAAGATCAAAGGCTTTGCAATAATCTTTGATTTTTGGATCATAAGATTCTCGCAACTGAACCAGTGTTTCATCATCAAGTCTCTGAAGATGCTGATGATACTGATTCAGAATAGCAGCAGTATCACTCCACTGAGAGCTAATAGAATAAAAACTAAATGTAAAAATCACACTGAAGGATATTAGCAGTTTTAAAATAAGTAATCTGGCACATTTCTCTCTCTCTCTCTATATATATATGCTATATAATTTATACATATGCTATATAATTTATATATATACTATATAATGTACAGTGAAATCATTATATAAATTATGCCAATAGTTTCATAAATTTGGCCCATAAAGTATTAAGTTTTGAGGTATATTATAAACAAATAGTTTTACTGTAGTAAATATTCACAATAAATGTTAATTATTCAAGAAATTTGTGTGAATTATGACAGATTTATGAGCAATTATTTGCACAATAGCAGAACTATTTGCATTTACCACCTATTGATAGTTCTGATCTACAGGGGTTTTTAAATATGTAATTAAATTCAAGCATCTGCCATATTATTAATTTTTATTCTTTTACAAATTTGATAACATAAATGAAAATTTACCTTAGATCAAAATCCCCTTTGTGCCTGGAAGATTTCATTCGACAGAATTTAAGAATACGCTTGACAATATCAGACCTACAGTCAATACTCATCTGAAAGAAAATTTTGCAAATTCAATCACCCCCTTTGCTGCTACCTGAGCACATTTTAACTTACAGGATTAAAAGGACAAGAATCCAGGTATCATTAAAAAAGAACAAGAATCTAAAATGCACAATAATTTACCATTCACCAATGACATTTTAACCAATGTATAAAATATTGACATTTAGTCTAAATTTAGAATATTGCTAATTGATATTTAAATATTAATGTTAATGCCAATATTGACACTGACATTAGTATCTAGATATCTGTATTTTATATAAATTAACAAAAAGACGTCAAATGAATTTCTGACGAGTTTGTCATTTGAATTTAACAAACACTTAAAACTTTTGATTAGCCTCTTTTCTTTATGCTTCACTTTGTCACACACTCGCTCAGTCCACTGAATTATGCAGATGCAATCCACAACAGATTCAGTAAAGATTCATGAGTTGTCATAGATAGATATTGAGTTGTGTAAATGAACATGTGCTTGTCTTACATCCAGAGAATGCCATTGCTCCAATGAAATAGATTGCCAGACATGAGTCCAGCTGGTAAGTTAATCTTGTGTAGCCAATACCCCCTGTGGCATCTATACTAGTTTGGTACTTTATAATGGTAGAGGCACGCTGGAGGAACATAATTACGAGCTTCGCAGTTCCAGAAACCCGAGGGGAGATCGTCTATAAGGTTGGACCAAGGGGGTATTGGCTGTAAGTTCTCAAGCTGTTGGTCTCGGAAGCGGGCATGGTTCACCACTTGACCTGTATTTTGTATAATTTCATGGTATCAGTAGTGGTGCAATGGTGGTCCATTGTGCAACACCATATTCTACATCAGTCCTACAGTCTGGGACTGCCCATGTAGTACTAGCAGGGACAAATCTCCAGGCTAAAAGTACCACACCTCATGGTGGTCTCAGTTTGCAGGAAGTGGTGACCTAGGTCAACCTGTTCAGCTATGAGTAACAAGAGTATGTTTGATCTGTTGCCCGTAAGTGTGGGACAGGGCGGCAGTGTAGTAATTTTGCTAAGCTCTTGATAGGCTATTTTAAATATACAAATACATATTTATATATATTTGGTGCAAATACTTCCTTTACTTCGTACAAAGAAGTAAAAAGACAAAAGTAAATTCTGTCCATATCTGCTGATCGACTAAAATCCAAAGTGACCAGTAATCAACAGAATTAAGAAATAATGGTAAATTTTTCTCCATTTTGAACTTCTCTTCACACTGCTGAAAATGCAAATTGACTAAATTTTGGGCTTTAGATATTAACATTTATAAAAAAGTAAAAAATAAATAAAAATGCCTTAATTAATACTTAATAATAACTTAATAATACTATATTTTTTGGCAACAAATGAAGAAATAGACAATTACATTTTCTAATGATTCAGGAGAAAATATTATTCTGTCAACCCACTCGAGAACATCAGAAGGGCCAAGTTTTTGCAGCATGTCAGTGCAAGATTCATACCGATGAATCCAATCAGTCTACAGAAAAAGAATAAATTTCATTTTAAATGAATGAAGGTTAATTAGAATGTTAATAATCATACAAAGGAATATACGTGAAAAAAACTTATTTTATTGGTCTTAAAAAATAAATAACTACATAAACACAATTTACCAAGCATAAGTAAACATACTTTTAAATAATATGTAAATAATTTAGCATCCTTAATTATAGATATTAGAATTTCATGAACTCATTATATCTGAATTAAAAATTAAGTTATTTGTAAAAGAATAAATAAAATGAATCATTGCATATTTTACAAGTAGTAAAATTTAACCTTAAACAAGCAATGGCTGGAGTTGGAGCTCGAGACATACATTACATAAGCTGGAGCTCAAGATTTAGTTATTTTCAACCTGAAACTACTGCCATAAAAATGGATTTGAAACATCACTTTATTTAAAAAACAATAGTACATACAGTGCCATTTATTAGAATAAAACCACAAAATGTAATTAATTTATTTTTCAAAGCAACAGTATACACAATACCATTTACTATAACAGTACCACTCCTATTTTTATTCTTTTATTTTTTGAACAGTTTTGTGAAATCTGACAATATTTCAGCATTGCTGGAAATCATTAAAGGTTATGGTTTCAGATAGATGAGGCTACATCAACTACTGGCAAATGATCCATAATTCTGCCTCAACAAATATTCCTTTATCATGTGATTTTCGAAATGTTTTTAATAAAGAACTTAAAGTTACGAATTTCTTAATGTAAGATATACACATTTCACGGCTTGCACTTCTCAACAGTTAACTACATCTCCTTTCTCTGGGGCTGTCTGAAGTCTCAAGTATTTTGGTATTAATAAATCTAAAAATTCAGACTAATACTGTATGAAAAAATTGCAGTTAACCAATCAACAAGCAGGACTTCCACCGAAATTCAATTTTTAATCTCCCAGATTTTGTTAAAAGTTTTCCAAACCATTAAACTGAATACTTTTATTGACAAAAATTAAAAGAACATACGTTGGAAATTTAAATAATTATAATAATACATAAGGCTTTTAGAAACAAATACTAAATCTGGAAAAATCTATTTATTGCACAAAAGAAATTCAAAATAAAAGTGAAGAGCTGATTTTATGCAAAAATAACAGTTATAAAAAAGTAATATCATAGTTAAATTACCTTACCAAAACAAAAGTATTTACAATATTATAAATAGAATCACAAATGAATAACTTCAAAAAATAAAATTACCTTGGTAACAGGCATTTTTGGATTTTGAGATTTTCCTTCAAAAAAGTACTTTTGGACCCAAAGGCAGTATATATTTCCTGGCTCATAAAATACTCCAGTCTAATTATAATGCAAAAAAAAAAAAAAAAAAAAAAAAAAAAAAAAAAAAAAAAAAAAGGCATTGATATAATGCATAAAACTACAATTAAAATGATTTCATATAATATACAAATACAGTAGAATCCCAGAAATCTGCAAAGCTTAGGACCAAAAGTTGTATGGATTTTAGGATTTTGCGGATTTCAGGACAGAAAAGATAAATCATAATATTCAGACTAAAAGTGCAAAATAAATAAGGCATATTAGATACATTTAATTAAATTATTATACACTATTACAATAATTTATTATGTACATTAATTATTACATACATAAATAGATTATACTATATTAGTATTCATTTACATTAGTGTTTACAGAGATATTTAAAAGCATTAGGGATGTATTCAATACACATAAAAATAAGGGATATTAATAAAGCATAAAATATTTCATTTTTTTCTACATATTTGAAACATTTTTCTGATGGAGGTTTGTTTTGAAACTTTAGGGTATTCCAGAGTGAGGTTTTTTTTTTTTTTTTTTTTGGTAAATTATATAGAGTCATAATCTCTTGCTCTGTGACACAGCTTTGCTGTTCTAAAAATTTTAGGTATTTTTCACCAAGTTCCAGACCCTCATTAAAAGATTTTTCTCACTTCTATCAAATTCACTATCTGTGTCGTTGTCAGAATTGTCTTCTTGCTGTAGCGAGTTCAAAACAGAGCCAATGATTTCATCATCAGTCATTTGATATGCCAGCGTTGGCTCATCTGAACATATCATCCATTCTTCTTCTTGCAAAGCCTCCTCAATTATTTTTTCTTTCGAAAATAAAAGCAATTTCTTGCTTTATTTTTTAGTTTTACGTAAAAAGTATCAAACAGATTATCCACCAAATTTTGAACTGAGAAAACATAAAGTTAGGGATCTTAAAACTCAATTAACAAATCAACAAAGTGTTTTTAAAATGTCAAGGGTAAAGTCACAAGCAGTAACTACTGCACCATTCAAAAAGCTATCTCTTAGCAAAAAAATGTAAGCCATTTCCATTAAGGTTGTAGGGTTTATATTTATTTTAACTAACATTTATTTTAAGTTTAAACTATCTTTCCTGTCAAGCCTTACTTTCCCCTGGAACTGCCAATGCCAGAATATGTAAATTTTAGTAGAACGCACAAGGATACAAATTATCAGCGGAAGTATTCTGATTTAAATAGAAGGAAACGAGTTCGGTGTGATATTCTTACTTCACGAGCGCGGAGGTAGTTAGCGAGAATTGAAGAACCCCGCGTTTCGGCCTATGTGCTTGGCGGGAAGTAGTGTTAATCGTTCAAGTGAGCTTCAAGTCTGCTGAATTAGCAGCGGTATTGTAAAACGCGGTGAGTTAAGTATTTTAGAGAGCCTCGTAGTTAGAGTCTTGTCTTTAGTTTCTTTTCAGATTATTATTTTTATTTGACTGCCGAGTTGGCACAGTCTGTGAGCGTCAAGAGCATGCAATTGTAATTTTTTTTACGTTGAATAAAAAGGGACTTAAACCCTTCACAAGACTCTATCTTTTTATACAGTTTTTCACAGTCACCCCTTGGTTGCGTGCAAGTTGGAGGCGCGCAACGTTACATTGGCGCCCGAACAAGTATCGAACTGAAATGGCCGAAAATTGGATGGAAGCCGCTGGACAACACCAAGAAATGACAAGCCAGTTAGAAGGATTTGGATACCTGGTCCAGACTTTGAGAGCATCAATCAAGCCAAATGTCCATTTCGACGGAAAAAATTCGGTGGCGGTATTTCTAGAAGGTCTAGAAAACCACTTTCAGCTCTACCGTGTTCCCGAAATACAAAAAGTTGCCATCGCCACATCAGCACTAAGAGGACAGGCCACACTATGGTGGAAAAACATAGGCAAATTTTTATTAGGGAAATTTGGAAGCCAGACGTATACATTTGAAAATTTCAAAAAATCGTTAGTAAAGGCCTTCCCCATAGTGAAAGATCGCGCACGGCTGGAAGCCGAGCTATATAGTTTTTATCAACGGGATACAGCAGAATTGACGGACTTTATTCTACGAAAAATCAAGCTAACGAATATGCTGTATGGAAAGAAACCCGATGCGGAGATTATTGAAATAATATTACCAAGATTGTTACCCGCTGTTCAAGACTACTTTGAAATTAGAAACCCAAGCACATTGCAGGAACTCTTCGAATTGGCGGTGAAGTTTCAAAATCGCAGAATAGCGGAAACATATTCTCAAAGTACCCGAAGGAAATCTTCAAAGGAGGAAACCAGAAATGGAAATCGCTCTTATGGGGGAAAGAACTATCAAGCTAACGCATCGAAACTCGAAGGTCAAGGCCCAAATAGAAAATTTGAAAATAAGCATCCGCGTACCCAGAAGACACAGATTGAAAGGAAAGCGTTAAACGAGTAGAGTGGCCTGTGAAAGGGAGGGTCCAGACCCCGGAAGTTTTAAAAAAACCCTCAATAGACATTTAAATACGGTCATCGTAAAAAACTCACAGCTACTAATTATACAAGTCCTGGTTGGCGATGTACCAGTAGAAGCCCTCATCGATACAGGAGCAGAAAGAAATTTTATGAGTGAAAACTTCTTCAAAAAGAATTTTTATAGGGTACGACTATTTAAAACCAAAAATACAGAAATTATAGCGGCGCAAGGAAAAACATGTCACTGCATCGGGAAATTATCATTAAACTTACAGGTAAAAGAGGAAAGTCTCAAAGTATTAATTTTTGTGGTGAAAGATCTGCAACATTCTCTTATTTTAGGTATGGATTTTTAAGGGCCCGCGAGGGCCAAATTAAATATTCAAGATAGTTCCGTGGTGTTGGAGATGGGACCAGAGGGTGGTGGAACCTGTGGAGACACCGCAATTGGACCTTAGCCATCTGAATGACCATGGAAGGAAAGCAATACAGCAAGGTGGTGAGTAATTTTCTCATTTGTTTTCAGAAAAACCAGGAAACTGCCAAATAGTGACGCACAAGATTCAATTAAATGCCGAAAAACCTTGTAAGA